GGATATGTGAGGGAGAGTTAAGGGATGAGAGATACCCAGACGCAGAATACGAGATAAAGGATGGAAGGGAGGAGGAGGGACTGAATAGAAAAACCAGTTGGAGGACTCAAAAGATGTGGGAAGGAGACAGAGAGGGGTAGCAGCAAAGAGAGAGGGAGGAAGCAGAGGAGATGAGGGAGAGATGGAGGAGAGAGACAGGAGGTAGGACTGCAAGGTGACAAACAGAAAGCCAGGGGCAGGAAGAACCTTACTGGGTGGTGACCAAAATAATGAATTCCAGATGTTCCCCCTTTACTTTCTATCACCAGCAGTTCTTAACATCGGCCATGAAAAATTAGAGCTGTTTGTAAAAATGAAGGCAACAAAGGTCCCACTCCATCCATTGCTTTTGACGAAAAGCTAGTAGCTGAGATCTCATCAGTGATAAGGCTGCAGGGAAAGGGACAGGGACAAGAACACACTCCTCATTCTGAAGCAAGCTGCATTCAGGTGGCTTTGTGGGAAACACATACTGTGAAGGTAATAGACTGATGCATGCATTGTTTTTGTTGAAAGGAAAAAGGAAATATCAAGTCTTTCGTATAATATACCACGGAGACTTCCCTATCGTGGGGCACTGGAAAAATATTGAATCCTCTCAGGGACAAAACATGGAATTCCTTATGGAAGTTTCCCTGCTGCTGGTATTGGGAATTCATCATATCAAACCTCTAAAATGGAATAGAGAATTTAATATCACAAGCCATGAAAAGGTTGTAACCATGATCACTTGATCCCAAGGACATTTTTGCAGCTGGTCTTAGGCTAAGGAGACTCAGTGGAAACAAACAGCTATATTTTGGCATTTAAATGCTAATATTTCCCAAGCTCTATGTTCTGTTATAATTCTCCGCAGGCCTGAATTGTTATCTTAAGCTGATAGAGGATTATAGACAATGTCTTGAGGACTTGAATGGAGAAGTGCTAACAACACTGATAACTGATATCATCACGGTAACTTACTGATCTTAGTTTTGCCATAAGCTCTTCCCCTCTCTTCTCCTGAGACATGAGGTAGGTAAAAGTTCACAATGATTCCAGTTTGGGTACCTTTGTGTAATGGTGTATGCAGCATGGGTGTGGCTTCACAATGGGATTTATTTGGGAAGAACAGAGGAAAGCAAGCATGATGAGAGCTTATGAGAGTGCAACATTGGTTTTCCAATGGTAAACAGCAGCCTTAGGACAGTTAACGCAAGCCCACCCAAGAGGCTGATCAACCAGCATACTTATGAGGCTTATTCAGAGAGTGGTAATCAAGGAAAACGTATTGCCAGATGAATCGTTTTTAGCCTAGGGTCCTTTTTTTTTAAGGATGAAAGTGGTGATTGGCGAGAAGCCAAAAAGAATAGTGCAAAACATTATCAATTTACAACTTAATAATAGCTAAAAGGCATTTCCAAAAAGAGTGGTAGTGATATGTATTGTTTATTTCAAAGCAGTTATAAGATGTGAGGTATATCAAATAACATTCTCGGCAATGAGAGACAATAGTTAGATATGTGGCAGTAGTTACTGAAGAGGATCTGAAATGACCAATTCTAACTGTAAGTGGTACAACTAAGGAATAACAGACACCACTGAGCCGGTGATGGGATGTGTTTACCAATTTGGGCAGACTAAATGTCAAGGTCAAAGTACTGAGACATAAAAGGAGGCCAAAATGAGGACAACCTGCTTAATGTGAGACCAGTTTAACAATCAGAAACTGGCTTCATGGGTCCTGAGGTTGGTGCATGAAGCCCTGGGAAATGACAGGTGTGAGGAACCACTGGAATTCAGGAGGCCTTAACCAGTGCTCCTATCAACAGTCATTTTGCTTGCAGGTAGAACTACTTTTGCATCACCATGGGTCCTAAGAATGCAGAAGAGCACTGCCATTCTGATATCAACACAGAAAAAGAGAGCAGATGCTGTTAGACCAATTTGGACAGAACTCACCAAGGAATAAATGAGGAATGAGCATCTCTATCTCCCTGGTATCACTTTTACAAGTCAGCATTATTTCCTGCCAGTATCATGGAGAGAGTTTCCTAACTAATTTCTTGATGTTTCTATTCTTGCTTTTCTAATATCCTCGCCACGTTTCTCGAGAAAATCCTTAAAAAATGACCATAAAAACCAGTAATACACACAGTTGCTTAGAAATCTTGAATGGCTCCTTATGGCCTTGGATAGGAAAAATGATTGTCCCTGGGGAAACAAAGAAGTAAAATATCATGAACAAACACTATGCGTTATCTGTGCATAGTTGCTTTGATAGACTTTAGATGTATGTATAGCAAAGTGGATACATTTTAAAAGCATAGGTCTCAGTGGAAAATTTTGAATTTAAGAAATATTTAAGTACCATCATGCTTCCAACCATGACAGATTAACAGGAACCCGATTTACTCTCCCACCTAAATATCCGTAAATCAAAAATGTTATAAAGCTTTACGTCATGGCACCACAGGCCACACGGGGACAGTGATCCCCGAGAGAAGGGGAACTAAGAAGATGAGCCCTCAGATTTCCCAATTCCTCCAACTTCTTGCCTGGATAGAGTTTACAGGCTGCAGCATAGGGAGACTGAACACAGAGCCCAATGGACAACCTGACTGAGACAAGAGTCGACAATTCCAGAGGTCAATGTGACTAGGATTCGCTGGGAGTAATGGAGGGGAGAGAGCTGCACAGGTCTCCCACCTGGGTGCAGTGTATGAGAAAGGGGGAGTGGTGGTAGTTGACTTCCATTTTCTAGAGTGAGTAGCTGTGTGGATAATGGTGCCATTTATCGAGATTGTGAAGATGGGAGTTTTAGAAACAGGAGAGATGGGGGGTGGGGTGTGAGTGTGTGGGAGGGGTGGGTATATGAAGTGACCGGTTCTAGACAAGCTCACTATGAGGAGCCCTTGAGACATCCAAGTGGAGATGTCATGTAGGCGAGTGAATATATGGATTTGGATCTCAAAGGTGAAGTTCAAACTGGGGTTGTAGATTTTGGAGTTATTAGCATATTAGCATATATAGTTATACAGCATATAGAGAGGCTGATATAAAAACAAAGATGATAAAAGTTCGCATCATAAGAAAAAAATTGTAACTATGAGTGGTGATGGATGTTAACTAGACTTATTGTGGTGATCACTGCACAATATACACAAATATTGAATCATTATGCTGTACGCCTGAAACAAATATAATGTTATATGTCAATTATGTCTCAATTAAAAAAAAGAAAGAGAAAGAAAAAATAAAAATAAAATAAAATAAAAAACAAATATAAAAGTCCGCTATGATTTTTGTAAAAAGCACAAGTTCAATTTGAGACGGGAACATAGCATTTTCTATGAGCATATAGTGGTCTGTCAAGGCCTGCGTTTCAAGGGTCTGGTCGCCTCCCACAGAAACGTTGTTATACAGGAAAGGCTGAAGAGACACAGGCAGCTGACAGGGAAGGTTGCTATGCAACAGCTGTGGAAAGCCATCCAGCCAGTGAGAACTGATATTGGTCACTGGAGAGGAAAAGCTGTGGTCCTAGCAGTAGCTTCCATTCATACACAGGAGTCCTGGAGAGGCTGGATATAAAAACAAATACAAAAGTCCACAATGGTTTTTGTAAAAAGAACAGGTTCAATTGGAGATGGGAACATAGCATTTTCTGCCTCCAGAACAGTTTCTCCAGTCATTCTAGAAGCACAGCAAGCACGTGTTGGGTAGGACCGCAGTAAGTGTTCCTTGTGTTTCCCATTTTGCATATTGAGAAACCAGGCTCAGAGCCGTCCAGTGACCTGAGCAGGCTCACACGGCTAGCGACAGACTGGCCCGGCACTCCTCCCCTGGAATTCTGAAGTCCGGCCCAGCTTCTTTCCGCAAGACCACAGCTGCCCCAGGCCCCGGCCCTGGAAGGAAACCCGGGCTAACATTTACTCTGAATCAGGGCTTGCCATGGCTCAGACACACAAGTGTCTGATTGTCCTGGCCTCTCCAGCGGGCACCAGGAAAGCCTCAGGGGCAGCGTGTTTGTGCCACTCAAGGCAAAGAGGCCAGACAGTCAGAGCAGGGAGTGGACCCCAAGGAGAAATTCCCACACCTAGATGGACCCATGTAGAGTAGTGGCGGGGGGGGGGGCTCTACCTGTGTCCTCCGGGATGCAGAGCAGGAGCTTAGGTCTCAGAGAATGTAAACCTTGCTCGTTTGGGACAGAGGTTGAGGTGGGGGAGGTCTGTCGCTCAAACTGAAGAGGTGAGGGAGCCTCAGTCCCCAGGCCAGCACTAGTGGAACCTGGGTTCTGGAGTCAGGAAGACCCAGGCCCAAATTCTGCATTTTCTGTTTACTGGCTCTGCGGCCTTGTCTAGTTCATGCAATGTGCCTGTGCCTCAGCATGTTAATCTGTAAAACGGGGATGCTGACATTCACCTCCCAGGGCTGCTGTGAGAGGAAGATAAGCCCCAGCACAGATCGCGCCATGGCTTACAAGCTGCATGAAGAGTAGCCAGGGAAGCAGATGTTCCCAGCCTGTCTGGGGGCCATAGAGATGGATAGTGGAGGGGAACACAAAGGGAACTGGCATCCTCTAACCATTTCCATTTCTCTTGTCGAGGTTAGAGACCCAGCCAGAAACCACTGTATTTGTGAGCTGGGGATCATGCTGGGGAAGCAGGGCATAGTGGATTCCAGACCACACTGGAGGAGCTTAGGGGGAAGGGGGAGGCCAGGGCTGAGAAGCACTGTACAAAAGTGGCGGGGTTGAGGATATATGATGGGGTGGGTCGAACTGCACCACAAGGTGTGAGTGCGCGCGCCTGCGGTCGGAGCGCCGGGCGCGAGGGGGCGGGGAGGGGAATCTGGCGGGAAAGAGAAAACGCCCCCCCGTCCCCCCCCCCCCCCCCCGCGCACCCACTCGCGGAATCGCATGCGCACTGGGGACCTGGTGGAAAGGGCTTTTGTTGGGAAAGCGGGCGGGCTGGAGGGGTCCGCGCATGCGCAGGCTGCCCAGCCGCGGGGGCTGCGCGGAGAAAAGGGGCGGGGTGGTCGGAGCTGCTGTGCTGGCAGCAGTAGGCGAGGGCGAGGCTGCGGGGTTCCTGGTGCTGAGGACGGACGCCATTGGAGCCCCAGGGGAGGTAAGGATCCAGCCCCAGACAGGACCTGGAGAGGGCGAGTGGAACCCCGCACGCTGTGCCCTCCCCACCCCCTACGCTCGGAGCTGAACAAAGCCCAAGCACTCAGAACCTGAACCCCATAAGACCCACGGTCTAGATAGGAGACCCCCGCCCCCCACCACCACACCCGGGCTCCCCGATCCGAGCCCTCCTTACACCACAGCCCACGATCCGAATCCCTTTAGCAGACCCGTGTGCTCCATGCTGAGCTTCCTTAGAGCGGAGGCCCCAGCCCCACCCCAACCACTCCTAGATCATGCCAGTCGAGCTGACCGCTTTGCCTCCCTTCCTGGAGTTGCAATCCTGGGATTTGAGACCTCCAGCGCTCCAATTCGAGCCTCACCTAGTCCGAGGCCCCCACCCCATCCACCCCTAGCGCTGCTGTGAGAGCCCAACCTAGATCGGAATCCCCCAAATTCCCCCCACCTGGACCTAGCCAGAGGGTCCCTGGGATTCAGCTTTCCAGAGCTTCCTGTGGTCCCTGTTGTCTGAGCCCTCTCATGTCATCTGCTCCCCCTTCATCCGGGCCCCCTGCTCCTGCCGTTAAATTCAGGCCCTTTGTTTCTGCCTCTCTCAATGCATCATGCCCTTTGGGACTCTTCAGACCCAAGCCCGCCAGTCCACCCCATATTGGAATCTAGCCGCTGGGATGGAGAGCCTGCCCATCCTAAACTCCTCTTTCAGTGCGGGGTCTCCTCGGACCTCCTCTCTCCCTCTCTTAGGGCTCTGTCCCTGACAGAATCTACCCCAACAGACGCCCCCCCCTCCACCCAGCCTTGTACTGCCTGGTAACCTGATGATTGCCGCCCCCCACCTCCAGGGAGTTCCCGCCTCCCACTGGATCCCGCCCCCTCCCCCTGAAGAGGCCTCACCCTCCCTCTCAGGCTGAGCTCTCTTCTCCTTGGGACCTCCAGCATGGCTGAGGGAAGCTACCGCATGGAATCGGACAGCTACAACGTTGAAGACATGGATGAGGGTAGCGATGAAGTCAGGGAGGAAGAGATGGTTGAAGGAAACGTCTATGAAGAATTTGGTGCTTTTGGAGGCTACGGCACCCTCACCAGCTTTGACATCCGAATTCTCAGAGCCTTTGGGAGCTTGGGTCCAGGCCTTCGCATCTTATCGGTGAGGGCCCTTGTTGGCCACCTGCTGGCCCTAGGCTTTCTCTCCTGTGAAGGGGGGGTTGGGGAGAAAGGGGGAGGATGAAAGGGAGGGTTGAGTGGGGAAGAACTGCCCAGTTCCCCATACGTATTCTCTCCTGCTTGGAGAAAGGAGGTTTGGGGGGGTCTGGGGGGTGGTCGGGGCTGGCTGCCCGGAGGAGAAGGCTGGCCAGCACAGGGAAGCATGATGCGAGTGTGTAGAGTTGTCTGCCTTCCCCTACCCTTCTTTCTGGCCTTGCAGAATGAGCCCTGGGAACTGGAAAACCCTATGCTGGCCCGGACTCTGATGGAGGCATTTCAGCTGGATCCGGAAACACTTGCCAATGAGGCGGCCTCCCGTGCTGCCAATGTAGCCCGCGCTGCCGCCTCCAACCGTGCCGCTCGGGCTGCTGCCGCTGCCGCCCGTGCCACCTACAGTCAGGTGGTCGCTAACCACCCGGTGGCCACAGACCAGGCTTCAGGAGAAGATACTCGGCCCATGACACACACGGCCGAGGCTCAGAGAGCCACCTCTGAGACAACCCTTGCTTCTCCACAGAGCTCCCAGATGCTAGTCAACAGTGAGATGGTCGCCCCCGGGGCTCCAGCAACCTCCGCACAGCCCCAGACAGCTTCTCAGGCCCAGGAGGCTGCTACTGAGGGCCCTAGTCCTGCCTGTGCTTTCTCTCAGGCTCCATGTGCCAGTGAGATGGATGCCACCCGGCCCAAGACAGCCTTCCTGGGTCAGAACGATGTCTTTGATTTCACTCAGCCGGCAGGTGTCAGTGGCATGGCCTTCCCACGCCCCAAGAGACCCACCCCGGCCCAGGAGGCTGCCACAGAGGGCCCCAGTGCTGCCTCCGGGGTGCCCCAGGCAGCATCTGCCAGGGAGGGGTCAGCCACCCGGCCCAAGACAACCAAGTCTGGGAAGGCTCTCGCCAAGACTCGGTGGGTGGAGCCCCCGAATGTTGTGGCAGCGCCTGCTGCCAAGGCCAAGATGGCCATGAGCATCCCTCAGGAGCCTGAGGGTGCAGCTGCCACTGCTCAGCACAGTGCTGAGCCCTGGGCCAGGATGGGAGGCAAGAGGACAAAGAAGGTGAGACTCCCCTGCTGTCTCCAACCCCCACTTGCTCTTCTTTTTTCTCTCCCCTCTCCTCCCCTCTGCCTTCCCCACCCCTCCCCTCCCCTCCGCTCCCCCACCTCCCCTCCTCTCCCCTCCTCACCCCTCTTCTTCTCTCAGCTTGTCCACCTTTCTCCAGCACAAGTGTGCTAGCATGTTTTTACTCCACGTAGTCCCTGCCCTCAGGCCTGGAGGGAGAAGAGATTGGCTCAGTGCCTGGCACTTAGTAAGCACTCAGCACGTCATCCACTGTTCATACTACTCTTATTTCCAAGGACCTGCTCTAGTTAAGATGTGTGCCGGGCGCTTTTGCATGGTGAGCCTGGTAGCCCTGGGTCTCTCCTCTCTCTAATGCTACAGTCCAAGCACCTGGATGATGAATATGAGAGCAGCGAGGAGGAGAGAGAGCCTCCTGCAGTCCCACCGACCTGGAGAGCATCGCAGCCCCCACTGGCGGTGCAGGCTCAGATGGCCCCTCGGCCCCCGATGGCCCTGAGGTCCCAGGTACCCTCAAGGCACGTACTGTGCTTGCCACCCCGCAACGTGACCCTTCTGCAAGAGAGGGTAAGAAGTCTGCCCTTCCCCCATCTCCCTCCTCTCCTCCCTTGCGGGCCAGTTCTGTGAGGTCACCCATGCCTTGATCTCCCCGTGTGCTCCTCCTTCTCCAGGCAAATAAATTGGTGAAATATCTGATGATTAAAGACTACAAGAAGATCCCCATCAAGCGCTCAGGTGGGCAACCTGTGCCCCCTCCCTGAGCTCTGCCCTTCCCCCCTCCCCTGACCCCATCCTGTGGGCCTCCCGAATCAGATGCCCCCACCCATCAGACCATGGCTGATCGCTCCATTTGCACAGTACCACGGTACGGGGCCCTGACTGTTCCTCTCAGCAGGGCTGACCGAGGAGCTGCAGCTCTGTGGCCGCTGCTCAGCCCAGGTGCTTTCCTCACCCCTCCCCTCCTGCAGACATGCTGAAGGACGTCATCCGAGAATACGACGAACATTTCCCTGAGATCATTGAACGAGCAACATACACTCTGGAAAAGGTGGGCACGGGGATAGGGGGGCAGCTCTGTGGAACAAGAGTGGCAGGGAAGCCTTGCACCCTGCAGCCCCTCCAGGGAAGCCTTGCACCCTGCAGTCAGTCCCTCGAGGCCCAGTTTCAGTACTGCCTGCTCTGGAAGCGTTTCCTAGCCTCTCCAGCTGGGAGCTTCCACTGCATACTTCCTTCCCTCAGTTCCTCTCCCTCTTCCTTCCCTCTCCCTCCCTCTCCCACACACGCTCTCTGACTGTGTCTGTTGTCTCGTGAAGTGGGTCCTGTTGCCTCAGCCGGTGCCAGAGGTCCCACAGGGCAGTTCCTCTGCGTCCTCTCTTCTTCCATCCTCCCCCATGACTTTGGGTTCCCTGCTGAGGAAAAGTTCTAAAAGGGAATTGAGTGACTGCCTGCAGGACACCCAGCATGGATTTTTGATCTCACATTCTGTTTTCTCCCCCATGTAGAAGTTTGGGATCCACCTGAAGGAAATTGACAAGGAAGAACACCTGTACATTCTTGTCTGCACACGGGATTCTTCAGCTCGCCTCCTGGGAAAGTGAGAAAGGGCAGGAGGGTTGTGGCCTTCCTCGGTGGTGCCACGCCCCTCCCCTCTGACACTCCCCTCTGAGAAACAGGAAAACAGGGCTGGAGGGCCTAGCACAGACCCCACTCACAGTTAGAGGTGCCGAGTGATTAAGGGATGAAAGGGGTAGTAACGTGGGGCAAGGCCTTGCTGCGATCAGGGTTTCACTCCGTCCTCCCCCCTGCCGCCCCCCAGTCTTCCTGGGAAAGCAGGCTTCTTGTTGCTTGCCTCTCCCTGCCAAGTGCTTGGCCGTGGCTTGCCAGAGTGGTCCTGGAGGGGACTTCCTGTCGAGTTGTGCTCCCAATGCGCAAAGGGCAGGGAAGGTCTGGATGTGCCTCTGGACACATCGTCGCCAAGGGTTTGCTCCCTGCCTAACGTCGTCCTCGACAGAACCCTGGGAGGGGGTGTTAGTTTCCACATTTGATGGTTGAAGTGACTCCATCTCAGGCGGAGGGATGAATTGTCTGGATCAGGTAGCAAGCCATGTGCGGAGTGCGAAGAACTGCCCTGTTGCCGAGCAATCTGGGAGAGGCTAGTTGGGTGAGCCGGCTGTAGTCCCTCGGGCAAATGGCTGCTGGACAGGATCCCTCTTTCTACACCTTTAGGACCAAGGACACTCCCAGGCTGAGTCTCCTCTTGGTGATTCTGGGAGTCATCTTTATGAATGGCAACCGTGCCAGCGAGGGTGAGTAGCTGGACCTGCAGCTGGGGGCTTGCCCACAGTCTCACCTTCTGTGTGCTAAATTCTTGTACCTCATCTCCCCTCGCAGCTGTCCTCTGGGAAGCACTACGCAAGATGGGACTGCGCCCTGGGTATGATTGGGCTCTCGGCTCCTGCCCCTCAGTGTTGTCCTTGGGCACAAGAGGCCCCAGGATTGCAGTTGCCTGGTGGTCTGGTGCAGGGGAGCGGTGTCCTGGATTCAGTAGAGCGCAAAGGGTCTCGCCAGGGTGCTTGGGGAAACGATCCTGAACTCTTAGCCTCCTCTCTGCTCCATGTCCCCTCTCTGTCCCCAGATGAGATCTAAGAGAAACCATCAGAATTAGGGGCTCCATCAAACCCCTACCTAGGCCATTGCTGACAAGTGGGCGTCTGGCCTCTGCTGCATGCCCAGGCCTCCAGGGGGATGCCCCATGGGCCGGGAAGATCTGTCGTGCTAGGGAGTGCTCCTGCCCACATCCGGGCGCTACCACCATCTCCAGTCATGGATTCCTTTCCTTGCCCTCAGGGTGAGGCACCCATTCCTCGGCGATCTGAGGAAGCTCATTACAGAGGACTTTGTGAAGCAGAAGTAAGTACTGACTGAGTTAACTTTCTCTCACACTTGTGCATTCCTCGTGTGCTGGTCTGGCTGGAGAGGCCATTCCCCATCCCATATCTAACACTAGAGGGATGAGGGTCTCTGGTGTGAGTGTGGGTTGGGGTATGTGAGTGTTGGGGGAGTAGAATTTCGGGGAGTCTTGGAGAATGGGAGCACACGTAGACTGAGGACACGGTGTGGGGTACATTATAACCACCATCTCATTCGGCACCTGCCCTGTAGGCTGTGTGAGAATTTCCCTTGCTTTACATCTCAGGAACCTGGGGCTCAGAGAGTAGAAGCCTGAGCATGGCCCCAGCTGGTAAGGGGCACATTCGGGCCTGGAGCCCAGCCCTCCTGACTTTCTGGCCAAGGCCCACCCTATCCTTAGTCCTTGGAGAATACGTGTGCACTCACACAGGTGCACCAGCACGTGCGTGCGGGCACACAGACACACACACACACACAGACACACAGACACA